CACAGGTTCCTCCAGGAGTGCGAGACAATGACACCAAAGGACAAGGGGGAACACTTTCGGGTTAGGCACCTCAGAGTTTAATTCTGCTGTTACTAAGGGTTATTTAATTGACAGGCTCTGGAAGGGAAGCAGAGGGCAAAAAGTGTCTGATGATGCAGCAAAGATGGCAAGGGGACACCGGAACAACAACAGGGTCTGGCTGTGGGGAAGGGCCGTGGTCACCGTGGAGCCTGGAGGGCTGCCGGGAAAGGGGATGGGACCGCAGCCACGGGACTGGCACCGCGGCGGCCCTGGGGCTGAGGGCGCCTGTGGGAAACCAAATCCCGCCTGGCACACCAGCTGTGCTGCGGCCTCGGGATCGGGAAGTGTATGGGATGGTACAGCTGATGGGTGGTAGGAGCATACAGAACATGCCAGTTTTCTGTGGTTTTCATAAATCCAGGGCATTTCCGTGCGTCCTTGTGATGTCCCCTATGGCACAGTGCAGTAAGGGGCAGGGATGGGGAGAGGTGAAACCTGAAAGCCTTTCATGGAAAAACACCCTGTTCTTTCCAGCCAGATCAATGGCTTGCCTTCATGAACTTGGATCCAGCCTTCCACATGGCAGGGGCCACTGCTACAGAAACTACTTTTGGAAATGCAGATATTTTGCTGGTGTTTATTTACTGTCCGTTTTCAAGAGCCTCAAACCCATGAACAGGTAGTTTGCAAAGGGGAGACTGCTGCACATGTGCAGTCCTGTTCCTACATCATGAAATGATGTGGAAACAGGAGAGAATTCTTTCTTGTAAATACACTTGTTTTGGGATACCATCCTTCTCTTCACCACTCCCACGGGTCCATCAGAGATAGGGCGAGGGATGTGAGAGGACCAGAGGACTAAGGCACACTTTTAGATATGAGCATGGCAGATGCTGCTGTCACACCACAGGAAATCCTTGGGTAGACACGGGTGTCATCTTACTGAACACACAAATGCTGGGGATGCTGCCTTCACAGTTACAATGACAAGGGAAAAATGCTTGCAAACAGCTAATTTTTGCCTTCTGTGTTCCCTTGACAGGTTTCTAAGTATCTGGGCCCATCCTGATGTGTGGCCAAGTAGGAGCCCATAAGTGACATCCCTCCACCACAGGAGACAGACAGAGCTGTTCCCAAACACCCCTTGTCATTTGCCACCCCAGCCTGAGGCTTCCAAGGCTGAAACTGAGCAAGACCCTCAGTAACATTCCTCTGGTGTTTTCTGGGCACACAACTACTGCAGACTGTGGGATGTCACCTAATAACCTCTGGAGGCAGATCTCCTTGTCAACAATATTTGTGATTATTGTCCTCTTGGTTACTCATAATAGAAATATTTATAGATCATCAATACATTGGCCCATGCAGACAATTCACTGCACTTTTTCATTTTAAAGGCAAGTGCCATTCTCCATCTCTTTTTTTTCAAGGCAGGAAAGCGCTACCCAAACAAACACAGTGCAAATATTTCCTAAGGGAACCAGAAAACTTCAGCTTTATTTGAAACATTTTTGTTTGTAGGTACTTTTTTCAAAAATTCAAAAAAAATAACTAAGCTCTTTCTATTTTTCCTTGCAGGTGTTTTATTGAACAATTCAAAAAATAACTAAACTAACTTCCTAAGTTCCTAAGGCTTCAAAATGACAGAAAACTGGAAGGTATTTGACATCCTGGAGAAACAATTCCGGCATGTTTTCTTCCAGTCTTAGTCATTGTACTGCCTGCCTGGTGGAATGTGACAGGTCTGTCAGGCTCCTGGTCAATACCAGAGCACAGGTCTCTCTGATGACTTCGGCAAAGACCTCTGGAAAAAGAGAGGGAGATAGAAAACTTTTGGTTGCTTTCATACAACAGGCATATCTGACAGAGGACACTCAGCAAATACAGCTACTTGATTCAAAGGGCACTTGCAAAGCCTTTAGAATTTCAGCAACTGCCTCATCAGTGTGAGCCTTTTGACAGCCTTCCTACCGCACATCGTGCTTATTTTCCTTTGCCACTCTGCCAACAGATCATGGCACTGCATCCCTTCATCCTCAGTAGCTCACAAAGCCTTGTGTTTTATGGAAAATGGCACTGCAAAGGCCACGTGGGATGGCAGGTTACAGGCTGAACTGCACCCCCTCTACAGCTTTTACAGATGCACCACCGCTTGCACCACAGGAGAACACAACAGTTTTAACGACAAAACTGTACAATAACAAGAAGAGCAGCAATTCTAGGAGTTGCTACTGGCAAATACTGGTCACGTGCCCAGCAAGGACTCCAAAATTCAAGTGCTGCTCAGGAGCCAAATTCCTTTAGCAAGTGCTGCTCCAACAGGGCAGGTTGATGCTGCACATCTTGCCTGATTCTGCTGTGCATGGGACAGTCCTCTTCCCTCTTTCACTACCCACTTTTCCCAGTGGGAATGGTCCCTATTCACTGCACACATGCTCCCCAGCTTCTCTACCTTGGCACAGCTGAGGACTATTTTACACAGAGCACAGCACCATCCCTGACCTGATCCAGCCCAAAAACGCTTCCTATCCTTCCCACTCCAAAAGCCACAACATGACTAAAGCAGCTGCTCATTTTCACTGAGAGAAAGGGAAGAGCGAACTCCAGAACTAAATATCTTCCATCACTACTGCAGCTGGAATATCCTTTCCCCAACTAAACGCTGGCCCCAAAGTCTCCATGCTTTCAGAGCACCTCAGCATTTTGTCTACAGAACAGCAGTTTCCTCCTGTTGTCAGGACACAAACCTCAGCACCAGTCCAAGCCAACAGCTCAAACTCCAGCCACAGGCAAGCAGGAATAGAATGCAGTAGCCCATGACTGATGCACGAGCCTGCCCTGTTGGGAACACCAACAACTTGGAGACATGCTCTTGGAAGCACTCACTCTAGCAAAGACCTGGCTAAAATACTGGCAGTACCCTGGTATGCAAACTGGCAGGGAAGCTTCAGTACATCTACCAGAAACACTGGAAATGCTACACTGGGATAAACCAGAAATTCCTGGCCACTGAGGATGCCTGAAATGCCAGACAGTCAGGACTCAAAAGGCACACACTGGTTGTGTTTTTGTGGGTCACATAGGAGAAAGACAAAGGCAACAAAATGATTTTAGTGGAGAAGGGAAATGCTCTACCCTTACCCATATATACCTACAAAGCTCTTTTCTGGAGTGGTTACTTCCAGGATGGAAAGGCAAATCTCCAGCAGATTAAGTTTCAGAAGGCATCCTATGTTAGAAGCAAACTCAGGAGTGTTAGGACAGGAGATACAGTTCTTCAGCTCCCCCTTTTTAAGAGAGACTTAGATTTAGGCATCTTTCTGACATCCCACCACTGTATACTCACTTCACTTTATTGCAGTCTTAGCTTACTGAAGACTACCTTTAATCTTCATATCTCTCCCCTCTAACAGGAAGAAAGAAAAAAAGGAAAAAAAAATCACTCAGGTTTTGAAAATTCACACCAAGTACAGACTAATACGCTTAAGCTTGAGTGATTCTGATTCTGACTGAGGACAGGAAAACTAAGATACTGGAATTCACCAAATGTAAACCCACAGCACAGCAGATATAGATTTCAGGCTCACTGACAAGTAACCAAAAAGGATTTTTTATCTAATTTGCTTGGATTGATTAATTGTTTTTTAGTGGCAGGGATGAAACTGCTAAACCTCTTATTTCCATTGCTGAAAATAAGCATTTCATCTCTTCTAGGTGGGCTTTTCATTTGCTCAGGAGGGGATTTGTGACCATTGAGAAACAGCTGTGGAAAGTTTTGATTCACGGTCACTTTAGACATTCGAGAACACCTTTATGGGAGAAGCATAATGGCTCCACTCCCAACCTGTGAAGTGGAAACTTCGCAGGAGTTTTTCAAACACCACCTTGGTCCTTGTAGAAACCCACCTCCCCTCCCACCTCTCACCTTTTTCTTCCCACTGGGTTCATCAGGACTGTCCATGGCTCTCCTCTTCAAGTCCCGCTTCCTTGCACGAGGGAGGTCCTTGGTCTCTGCTCTTCTCTGGTGCTCTTCTTTCACCCGGACAGGCTCAGGAGCTGCGGGGTCTCTCACTGGCGAGAGCAACTTCTTCACCCCAAGAGCAAAGGGCTGTTTCACTTCAGCCTGCTGGGAGCCCTTTCTGTTCTCAAGGGGCTCTTGGAGGGCCGGCTTCAGGTCTTTTCTGTAAGTAGATTCCGGCTTTGCTCTTTTTTTGACCCTCTGTTTGTCCCTGGAAGACTGGGCTCTGATCTCCAATGGATCAGGGTTGCTGTCCTCCTTCCGGCATCTCTTGGCCCTGTTGTCCACCAGGGGCTTGCCAGGCCTTTTGACACCCCCAGTGTGGTGGGTCTCTGAGCCCAAGGAGCTCTCTGAGTCGCTTGTCTCCGGGGATGAGGAGCTCTCAGAGTCACTGGTCTCAGAGTCTGAAGAGCTCTCAGAGTCACTGGTGCTCCCTGACTCTGAGCTGCTGGATTGCAAAGACCTTGGACCACCAAGCGGAGAAGGAGGCTTTTCAACAACCTATTTTGGTCACAAAAAAATAGAGAAGGAGGAAAGGTTAGCTCAAGGAACTCAGAACAAGACAACAAGGTGAGATGATTCCAAGGCATGTCTGTGTGCCTGGTGTGTCCAACATCCCAAACTGACTTGGTTGTTATCGCTCTCCTCACTGTCACTGAGCTGCAGGTCGTCTATGAGCACGCTGAAAGACAACCAGAACAGAAATATCAGCCAAGGCAGACACATTCGCAAGCACCAGACACTGATAAAAGTTTTGGGTTGGGCTTGTAACAGAGTCTGGTTACTTACGATGTTCTTGGCTGAGAGCTCGGCAATGTTCCTGAGGCTGTGCCAGACTGCTCTGCACATCAAACAGGAATAGGTTGGATTAATTGGCCTCACTTCTAGCCTGTTTCACCCTATGATCTCTGAGCACCAGATTGGAAAGTCACTTTCTTCCAGGATGTCTTTGCCACTGAGATTATTCATCACTCCATGGGCTTTCCCAGTGGGGTTTCCTAAGGGGGTTTCCTAATGAAATACTGCTTGTGCCCTGCTGGACTGCTACCTTCATTTCTACCTAATGAATGTTTATAGTCTCTTAGGCCATTTCTAAATTCATCTCTGTTCAACAAAGCAGGGGAAATCACCCTTCTTAATCCATGTAAACATCTGATGTTCTCCACAACAT